TTCTAATAGTAAAGAACCCTTCTTCTACTGGTAAGTTTCTTTGACCAAAAGTCTTTTCCTGAACTAGTTGGAAATGTGACATTTGGATCAAGAAAGTTAAGCTGAAAATTAATATGTATGCTTTTTTAAAATGCAGGTTGGATTTTGGAGAAGGGAAAGAATTGGATCTTATCGAAATGTGCCCTAGATCAAAACTTCAACAACAGTGCATCAAGTACCTTGGTCCTGTGAGCCATTTTTTCTTTTCTTCGTCAAACTTTATCCTTATTTGTGTTCAAACCTTTAGTAACATTTTTCCATTTTACAGATGGAAAGGATAGCCTATGAAGTAGTTGTTGATGATGGAAAATTCTTACTCAAGCAAACGTGGGAGCTCCTTCACACGCCTGGGGATGCTAAGTGGATATTTGTCCTTAGCACATCAAAGACCTTGTATGTTGGCCAGAAGAAGAAAGGTACATTTCAACACTCGAGCTTCTTGGCTGGAGGAGCTACAATTGCTGCTGGAACGTTAGTTGTCGAATATGGAGTGCTTAAGGTATAGTTGTAACATAGTCGCTGTTTGCACGTCTCATTGCTTAGCCTGGTTTAGTGCTTTAGTGCTCCTTTTGTGTTGAAAATTTTTCTATCAATAGGCAGTTTGGCCTCACAGTAATCACTACAGACCTAAAATGGAGAATTTGAAGGACTTCATTTCATTTCTTAGGGAGAACAATGTGGATCTTACGGATGTTAAGGTAAAATGGGTGAAAGAAAATGTTTTATATGCCCTTTGTATCATTGTCAGAGAAATTCAAGAGAATATGCTGATTACTTCTTTTGTTATATTCAGATGACTAGCTCAATTGGCAACCAAAGATACAGCTCATCTGAGAAGGAAGTGGCAAAAATTTTGAATATCTTAGGGACTGAAGTGATCAATCTCAACGACTTGGTTCAAGAGAAAACTGAATCAGTAGAAGAAGCTATTGTAGCACTTGAACTTCCCAAGACAAAGAGGTTCCACAACCTTAGCGGAAATTTGACTCATCTTGAAAAGGACTTGAATGCATAATAATAAGAGCTTTGTAATTAATTAAACATCTTATGAAAGTTTAGGGACTGAATTGAAAAAAAGTGTTATTTTGGGGACCTAAATGAATTAATATTAAGTTTCTGGATCATAATACTCATTATATAAAATCCGGAGGACCGAATCTGCTGTTTTACCATTGAAGAATTGCAGAGGAAGGAACCCGACACGGGTGTAGTGTCGACATGTAATTTGTAGTGTCGGTACCATTTGTTAAGTGTTCAGAATTCAAGTTCCCTGTTCTATTCCAAGTTTAACTTATTTTTTAATAGGGTTTCTTAAATTTTATAAATATACAGAATCAATTTTAAGGCTTTTTTTTTTTTGGTACATCAGAAGCTATTAAAAGCTTAGTTTCTGGGGAACATAGTTCCTGTACAGTCTGTTGTAAAATCAGATTAATACCATGGGGGGTTGGAAAAAAAGTAGTACCCAACTCAAGGTTATGCCCAACGGAGGCCATAAAGTCCGCAACTGCATTACCTTCCTTGAGAGTGTGATGTACCGAGCAAGAAGTGGAAGAGTCAAGTAAGAAGATATCAGATAGAAGCACCGAAGCAGTGCCAGTTGACACCTTCTGAGCCTGAATTAGTTGAATTGCCAGCAAGGAATCCATTTCCAGTATTAACTGTTGCACTCCAAGGGAAACTGCAAGTTTAAGACATCCTCTACATCCCCATAGTTCAGCCAAAAAACTTGTGGTAATGCCCACATTTATAGCAAACCCATGATGCCAGCACCCACAATGATCGCGAAGCAGTCCCCCTGCAGCTGTCTTACCTGAGCTATGATCATGTGATCCCTCTGTATTAAGTTTAAGGAAGTGCTGGGGTGGAGGGGTCCAACTGATCCATCTGGGGGTTTTTAAGGTGAGAGTTGCTTTAGCCTCAAAAGCAAGTTTTGTTTCTAAGGCCAATTTGCTTGCTTGTTGAGTGAAAAAGAAAACCTAATTTATTTTATCTATTTATTGAAAAAAAATCAATGTTTATAAATTTTTTAAAATTCTCATAGGTTTTTTGACTGGGATACTAACGTTTGCAAACCATTCAACCCCAAATAGCGTTTTAAGAGATGCTGAAATAGTGTACCCAAAGGTAGCACTTTTGGGAAAGGCCGTGAGAGGATATTGAACACGTTGACTTTTTCCCCACAGGAAAGGTGGTGCAAAAGAAACAAGCAGGGATGATGGGTATTTCAGAATCTAAAAGGATAAAAAGATCATGGATCTTGCATATCAAATTTCCTTGATCTTTTTCTAGAAAGAAAAAGGGGAAAAAATTTCTAGTGGTCATTATAACGGCCCCTTAGACTAGGGCTCCGCCCTCTTCTGCGATGGCCCCATGGTGGAGATGGACTGTAACTCCTTCCTCTCATTGGCACCAGCTAGGTAGAGAAAAAACTGTAAAGACAGCGAACAGTGAAGGTAGGTCTCAGGATTGGGCCGGGAAAGCAAGAGGAGAACGACGGAGCGACGATCCCCAGCGGTGGATTTCTTCCGATTCCCGACTTATAGAGGTTAGAGAGAGATGGTCTAGGGTTATGGAATATCATGGTACTACATTCCACACGTGCAACACGTGCCAATC